GGAGCTAGAGCAGAATCTATTATGCTTTAGCTGTAGTTTAAAAAAAAAAAAGGCAAGGGGAGCAATAATGACCTCAAGTAAAAGCAAAAGTAGACCTAATTAAAAGAGATAATCAGGGAAACATTTTGCTAAAAGGTACCATAGTCAATAAAACAACATAAAAAATTTTACAGTGAATTTCTCTGATAAAGGTCTCATTTCTCAAACATATAGGAAATTGAGCCAAATTTATAAAAATAAGGGCCATTCCCCAATCGATAAATGTTCAAAGAATATGAACAGGTAGTTTTCAGAAGAAGGAATTAAAGTTATCTATAGTTATATGAAACAATGCTCTAAATCACTATTGATTAGAGAAATAAAAATTTAAAATGTTGAGGTACCACCTCATACCTATTAGAAATGAAAAATGCTGGAGGGAATGTGGGAAAATAAGTTCACAAATTCACTGTTGACGGAGTTGTGAACTGGTCCAACCATTCTGGAGAATACTTTGGAACTCTGCCCAAAGAGCTATAAAACTCTGCATACCCTTTGACCCAGCAATACCTCTACTAAGTCTGTATCCAAAAGAGATGAAAGAAAAAGGAAAAGGACCTCTATGTACAAAAATATTTATAGCAGGCCTTTTTGTGGTGGCAAAGAATTAAAAATTGAGGGGATGCCTATCAACTGGGCAATGGCTGAACAGGTTGTGGTATATAATTGTGATGGAGAAGTGACGAGAGAGGTGGTTTCAGAAAAACATGGGAAGACCTATACGAACCGATGCAAAGTGAAGTGAGCAGAACCAGGAGATCACTGTACACTGTAATACATTATTGTAATGATGATCAACTGGGAAAGACATCTCGACTGATCAATACAATGATCCTAGACAACTCTGAAGACAATTCTCAATGAAAAATGCTATCCACCTTCTGAGGGAAAATTGATGAACTTCCCAGTACAAACAAATATAATTTTTCACTTTCTTTCATCTTCTTACTTTTTATTTCACAACATGGCTAATATGGGAATATGTTTTGCATGATTTCACATGTATAATTGAGATCATATTGCTTGTCTTCTCAGCGGATGGAGGAGGGGCTGGGGGGAGGGAGAGAATTTGGAACTCAAAATTTATTTTTAAGAAAGAATGATAAAGATAAAGAAATAACTTTAAAGAGCAAATAAATAAAGATGAGGGGGAAGGGGAACATTGCATCTCCCACTCCCATGACTCTGTACAGGCTGGTTGTCCACAGTGTCTACACCACCTCACTTCCACTTCTTCAATTCCCTAGCTCCTCACTCAGCTCAAGTATGACTTCCTACATAAAGTCTTTCTTAAGCCCTCTCCTATCCCCATGGGTTAATGATGTTCCCCAGCCCTGAAATTATTTTCCTTGCATTTATTTATTTCCATACATGTTGTTTCCCTCAATAAAATAATAATAAAGCTAACATTATATACAGTACTTTAAGGTTCACATTAAGAAGAATATAATCTCCTTGAGGGCAAGGGTTGTTTCATTTTTGTCTTGCATGATCTAGCACACCCATAGTAGGTGTTTAATAAGCACCTGTTCTAACTAGAACCTATCCACAAGTGTGACCAGGATGGTGAGAGAACTGGAGACCATGCTATACAAGAATCAGTCAAAGAAACTAAGGTTATTTAGTCTTAAGACGACAACATGTATGAGGAAAATACAAAGGGTCTTCAAGTATGTGAAGGGTTACACATAGAAGGAGAGTAAGCCTTATTCTGCTTGGCACCAGCGGGTAGAACTAGAAGCAATGAGTGAAAATTGCTCAATATAAGTGTATTCTAACAATCAGGGCTACCCAAAAATGGAATTGTTTTAAGAGGTAGTGAGTTCCCTCCTCCCTGTGATTCAATAGCCACAGGTATGGACAGGTACCACAAGATCATCCCTGAGAAGTCACAGTAGATGAACTTGAAGTTCTGAACTTGAAGGCAGGAAGACCTGAGTTCAAATCCAACTTCAAACACTTAACTTAGCTGTAATCACTTCACCTCTACTTGCCCCATTTTCCTCATCTGAAAAATGGGGATGATAATAGCACCTACTGCCCTGATTGTTGTGAGGATTAAACAATAATTGTAAAGTACTCTACAAACCTTAAAGCATTATGCAAATGCTGCTGATTATTATCCTAGTATCTGACGCCACTAACACTTCCAGCACAATTTTCAGAGTTAGGGAACAACACGCACAGACACAATAATTGGCAAGAAAGGATCTCTGGTTTGTTTTTGTTTTTTTTCAGTGAGGCAATCGGGGTTAAGTGACTTGCCCACGGTCACACAGTTAGTAAGTGTCAAGTGTCTGAGGCTGGATTTGAACTAAGGTCCTCCTGACTCCAAGTGCAAAGCTCTATTCTAGTTGCCCCTGTGTATCATTCTCTTAAAACAGTCATATTACCATTCAAAATTAATATGGCTCATGCCCCTCCCTCCCTGCACCCTACTCAAGTATTTCCTGTCTCTTTTTCCTCTATTATTTTTCCCTTTCCTGTTCCCTGAATACAGCTGCCAACACAGCTTTGGCTTTGTAGAATTTTGGAAATGCCAACTTTCTGAAAGTGATTTAAAATGCAATTTAAGACATACATTTTTGGACAGGGCCAGTAAGGGAATTTGCTTTATTTGCTTTATTTAACTATGTATATTGGTTACAAGAATGTGTGTGTGTGTGTATGTGTGTGGATTAATTAGGTTGAGGAGTGAACGAGAAAAAAAGAAATGTTTTGATTGAAAAAAAATTAAATTTAAAAAAATATCACAGAATATCCATACTAATGGGGTGGAGGAAGGGGACAAAATAAGAAAATCACAAATTTAGCACTAAAGAGACGCTAGAGATAATCTAACTCAACTCCTTCATTTTATAGGCGAGGAAACAGAAGCCCAGAGATATCACAGCCACTCAGTATCAGCAGAGCTAGGATTCTGACCAAAGTCCTCTGACTCCAAATCTAGCCCTCTTTCCACTAAAATAGGTATGTATATGATGAATAAAAGCATAGGGCTTTAGAATTTGAAAAATAGTTCATACATACAACTCGTTAGCACCTCACAACCTACCCAAGGTAGTTATTTCAATTATAATTTTCCCCATTTTACAAATAAAAAAGTTGAGGTTAAGTGGCTTGTCCATGGCTGCCTATGGCACACAACTACTGTCAGAAGTGGGATCTGAATTCAGGTCTTCTTGACTCCAAGTCAAACAAAACACTATATATGCCAGAAGGCAGCCACATACACAGACACAACACTCACATACACATACACTCATACTTACACTCACACTTCTGGTCCCCAATCCCTTCCCAGTTCTATCCTACAAATAGATACTCAGGTACACTCTTATGCCTGGGGGTTGGGGAAGAGGGAAATTCAGGTTAAATAATCAACTTTTGACCATAGATGATGTTAAATTTACTCACTTGAAAGGCCAGGGTCCATCCAAGATGATAACTTGGACACCTCCAATATCCAGTTAAAATTTAAGTACTGATTTATAATTAAAACATGCCCACCACTGATTTACAATTGGAATACAAAGACCTGATTACTAGCCAGGTGACCCATACCATCTCTGTAAACAAGCTCTTTCCCCCCATCCCCCAGCTTTCAACTGAAAGCATTTTTTTAAGATTACTTATTAACTTGGTGCCTTTCAAACCCTCATACCCAACAGCAAAGGACAAAAAACAAAAGACCACAGAGGCTTTTTTCAGGCACTAGGATCTTGAGATCAAACACTCAGGGGAGGGAAGAATGGAGAGGGACAGGAAGAGAAGTAATGGTTTCCGGTGCTGTCTGATCTTGCAGGGTGGTGAAGACCCACTCAAGTTCTCCTCAGAGTTTTGTCCGAGTTGGTTCCATCAGAAACTGGGTGATTCAAGTTTCTGCACTCATTCCAAACCCTTCCACAAATTAAAGATGTTGCCACTCTCCCCCAAAGACCAAAAGCCCGAAAAATCTAAAGAAAGCTAGTACCACTAAAGTGAGTATAATTTTCCTTTCATATTCAAGTTCTTCTTTATCCACATCCTGATTTCCAGCTTGGCCTGATTTCTTTCAGATCCATGCCAGGTTGCACGGCTGCATTTGACTACCCAAACATAGGCAGCACCCCAAATCCCAAAGCAGCACAGCTGAAAATTGATAGCCATTGAGACCACTGGTGAGGAGGGAGAGTTTCTTAAAACGGGAACTCACACATTCCCACTCCTTTGCAACGTAGCCTGCAAGTACGTGAAACCAAAGCTCCCCTGGGTCAGTCCCAGGGAGCAGCCCAGGAGGAGACCTGCCCAACATTTCTGCAGGGACAACAAAGATGGTATTGTGGGTACCAGACCTGCAGGCAATGTGCAAAACTACTACAACTCAGGATCAACATAAGACTCAACTATTCCCTGCTCCACTCTGAGGCCACCCTGCTGGGACTCACAAGGAAGCAAATTTCCTGGCAAGAAGCCACCAAGGAGCAAAAAATGTGTTGGTTACCCAGGGGGGGGAGGGGGGGGTGGCAGAGAACATCATGAGGTCTGCATGAAGTTTACCAAGAGGCCTATGAAGGGGATGGAGGAGAAGGGAGAAGAGAAGGAGTGGCCTTGACTCCCTGCAAATTCTACCCAGTGACCAGGCATCCTGGGTATTCCACCCAGTTGTTCCACTCTGGCTCCCCCAGGGTTTTCAAGGGTGGGAAGCAGGAAGTTAACAGGCCTCTCCTGCTTCCCTCTGCTCCTTCCATATAGTTGGAACAGTCGGCAAAGGCTAGAATGACTGTACAAGCTAACAATGGTATTAGTTCCTAATTAGAAATACTGAGGGTATATATTCTCTCTCCCTACAAGTCCCCAAAACCTAGTCATTCCATCCCCTACTAAGAAGATGGGATTTTCTCATCCCCTACTACCCAATCAAGAAGTAAGCAAACCATTAGACAGCGTTTACACTACAGGCTTCCTAACTTCCTACTGACCTGTCTTCTGGTCCTCCTGCAAATGTCTTCGCTGCTTACAGACAACAGGTGATCTGGTGGTCTTCCTGTGGAAAAAGAGGCTTCCATGAGCAGTCATTCTAGAGAAGCTGGGAATGACCCTCTTCCTTTGAAGCCAGTGGACACCCATCATTAATTCATTAGTTTGATATACATTCACTGAGCACCTGAGATATGTCCAGCACTGTGCTATGATTCCTGGCTGAAGAAGCCTTCAGTCTATCGAGGTAGACAACATATATGAAACAGTTAAAAAATGAACAATAAAGTGCCAAATGAGTGCTGGGTCACATCTTCAGGGGATAATGAATTAACTTGGAGAAGATTCATATGGGTGGATACTAGTAACTAAGGTAGGTTGGAGCCAAAGGGAGTAAGCGTTCAGATGCCACGCTAAGGGCAACTCGATCACCAATGATGTGCAGGCATAACCCCTGGGTTGTATGATAGACAAAAGTGGTGGTGGTAGTAGTGGAGGAGATTCCTGTGTTCTTTCATTTCCTGTTAGCAAATCTTCTTTCACAATTTGATTGCAAGGTCTTGAATGGGAAAGACCCTATTGTAAGGTTCTGCATCCCCCACTGCACTTAACCTGGTGCTAGGCACAGTGCGTGTGTGTGTGTGTGTGTGTGTGTGTGTGTGTGTGTGTGTGTGTGTGTCTCAAGTGCGCATGCACAAGCACATGTATCTTCCTAAACAGGTTTCAGCCTAATTAAGGACTGGGTCTTAGGATTTCTTTACATCCTGAGTATTCAACACAGGTCAGGCATATAACAGGTAATACCTGTTCATAAGTATCTGTTTATTGATTTAGAAGGGAGATATGGCCACAAGCAGCTTAAAGGCTAACTGAGATGAGGCAAACACAAACCCCAGACTGTTACAGTTAACCTTAATCAGGAGAGTTTTCATCATCCAGATTCCCCTCCTTCCCCATGGAGGCCCAAGCTGAGTCAGTACTACCAGGGCTGGGTCAGAGGGGAGGGGGTGAGTATAAATATCTGTCTCTCTGACTGCATTCCTAAGCCAAATATAAATAAATGGTCTAGGGGTTTAAACTGTTTTCTATTAGCTATAACTTAGCTCTCTGTAATGCTACTCTCATCCCCTGGATAAATAATGAAAAGTTAACTATACTTCTCAATAATGTGATACATAGGAATGTCTCTATGGATATACTTACCAGGGAAATAAATATTGTTGCATAAGATGGATTTGAGCACAAATCTATGCTTCCTCTGAGCTAGTCAAGGAAAGCTGCTTGGAAGAAGTGGGATCTCTGCCATCAGATATCTGCAGAGAATGGGAGGAAGGGAGCAGGAAGGAAAAAAAAGAAGTGGAATCTTATAGAACAAAGGCTTTAAGGGGGTACTTTTAGACTCTTCCCCTCTCCCCAAGTACAAGCAGGCCCCCAGATGTTTCTATCTAATTCTAGTGATACAGGCAGGAAAAGGCTTAAAAGTTCAGTCATGTTTGGGGACATAATCCTGCTTCCCCACCTACAAAGATGGCAGCCAGAGGCCTCTCCCATTTTCCTAAAGGCTCTAATCAGTCACAGAAACTGCAAGAATTCTTGGGGAGAGGTCAGGGAAGGGAACTGCATCTTTCTCAAACAAGGAAGAGATACAGAAGCTCCAGATCCAAGATACACAAATGCAGAGCACAAGGCTGAGAAGAAATATGTTCCAGCTGTGAAATTTACTGACTGACTGACCATAGGCAAGTCATTAAACAGAACCTCCCTGTGGCTCAGTTTCTTCATCGATAAAACGAAGGTAAACTTGAGCTCTCAAGTTCTGTCCAGTCCTAACATTCTGTGGCACAATTCTATGAAAAGAAAAATGCTCAAAAAAATTCTTTTCTAGTTTAATTAAAAAAAAACAACATGCAGAAACTTTTTAAACCTCCAAACTCATGCAGGCTGATTGGCTACCTCCCAGGCCTTGGACTGCTCCAAGATAATCTCCTGTGGAGTATGTGCCGACAATCCCATTTTGAGCTAAATGTGGATGGGTGTAAAAGGGAATGAAGGCGGACACTACACAACAGCAACCCTGTAAGCCCCCTCCCCAGAGCAAAAAAGAGCTATAATAGGAATCCCCAACATTCAGTAGGTCTAGGTTCATAAACCATATCTGACACTTAGCTCCACAACATGGGGGCCAGTCAAGCCCTCTGAAACTCAGTGTGAATAATAATATTTCTACCACCCTTCTTACAGCCTTACAAGTAATCTCAGCCTTAACTACCATTAATGGTGTCATTCATTGTAGGTATTCTCCGAGGACTCAGAAGGCCTGTCCTGTCCCCAGTAATCCCCTACCTATTCCTGTCTTTCCTCACACTCAACCAGAAGTCCCCACCAGATAAGTGGGCTTCCTCTAAATTCCTTCACTGCGTACCCTACCACCCCATCTTGCCTTTTGCCCCAGGTTCTCCAAGACGGCTCTGCCGTCTCTCTTCCCTAACCTTACCTCACCCTACATAGTACCACCCCGTCCTGCCTCCTGCCCCAGCACTCCAAAAATGCCTTCCTTCACCCCCCCCCCGACTCTTGCCCCAGGCTCTTCAAAACTGACCACCTTCAACCCACATCCCACCTTCCCGTCTTTCCTTCTGCTCCAGGTTCTCCTATCCGCCCTCTATCCTCCCTCACCTTCCCACCTCCCTCATCCTACATAGTACACCCCATCCTGCCTCCTGCCCCAGGCTCTCCAATATGCCCTCCTTCTCCCCACAACCCACCACCCCATCCTGCCTCCTGCCCTAGGCTCTCCAAAATGCTCTCCCTCTTTCTCTCCCCCCCACGTCCCAGCACCCCATTTTGCCTCCTGCCCCAGGCTAGCCCTCCCCATTACTCAGACTTTTCTTAACTCTCCTCTCTATCCCATTCTCCCCATTCTAAGAAACTTTCCTAATATCCTCCCATCTCCCCCCTCCAGGTGCCCTCTCCCAGCCCTTCTTGGCACCATGAGTCCTCCCCGACCCCTGCGCCCTCTTTCTCCGATCCCGCGCCCCCTCCCCCTGCCCGGACACCCCGCCCTCCTCCTACCGCTCCCTCCTCTCCCTGTCCTGGCCCCGCTGGCCGGGCTGGGGGAAGGCTCCGTCCGGGCTGGCCGGCCCGTACCGGCCCTCCCCGCCCCTCCTTCCAGGGGCTGCCGGAGTCTCCGCAACTTTGCCCGCTCGGCCGGCCCTGGGGCCAGCGCCCCAGCCCCGCCGCCGCCCTGGCCGAGCCGGGGCCCCGGCCTCCCGGCGGGCGGAGGAGTGGGGGTTGGGGGGGGCTGGAATGAAGCTTCCAGCCGCCGCCCAGACTCCCGCTCCAGCCGCCGCCGCCACCGCCAGTGGAAACGGGGGGGCGGGGCGGGGGGCTCCTTTGGGGGAGGGGGCGGGGCTGTGGCTTCCCGGGAAGGCTGGACTAGGGCTGAGACTGCACCCCGCGCCGAGGAGGGGGATGGAGTGCCCTGGAGAGCGGGGAGTGGAGGAGAGAAAAGAGGAGGGGAGAGCGAAGGAAGAGGAGGGCGAGCTTAGGGAGGAGAAATGAAGGGGAAGGGCTTTCTAGGAGAAGGAAAGAATAGATTCGGGGGAGGAGCTGAAGGTCTTCCAGAGTGGGGGAAGATGACTTACTAGTCCTCTGGAGGAAGGGGAGATGAACAAGGAATGGAGGTGCTGCGGTAAACCGCAAACTTCGGGGCGCAGGGTCGTCCTGCCCTGTCCTGCCCTGACCTGCCCCGGCTCTACTTCATTCTGCTCCCTCACACTCTTAGGATGATTGGTAGAGAGAGAGGAAAGGGGCCTTAGATGAAGATCTCGTAGTCCAGCCACTCGACAACTTTGTTTTTGAGACATGGAGAGGGAACGTTGAGTGATCACACAGGTAACAGAACCATGATTCAAATCCAGGTCTTCTGATACCAAATCCAGTGAGCCTTCCACTAAACAACACTACCTATAGGTAATTTAATCCTCGATAGACACACCAAACAAAGCCCAGAGCCTATCTATGACTCCTAACCTTCTCCCTTTAATTTCACATGTCAGCAGCAAGGTATAGGGGTGACAGGCTAGAGGACTAGGGCAGCTGGACTCAACTCCCAAGGACCACCCCAAATGCTTCCCTGCTCTAAGTCTCTTGGTCTTTTCTGTGACCACAGCTGCCCACGTATCCTCACTTATGCCCAAACATCAGCTTTTCCAGGAATACTCACCTGAAGTTTCATAAAAGAACTGGAATTAGAGCACAGCAACTAGATTTTGTCCCATCGAACCAAAATTTAGCACTTAACACTCCATCCGCTTAGAAACTACGAGGTTTACGCACCTCCCTGTGAGACAGAATAGTTAAAACAGAAAGCTAGCAGGGGTTTCTTTCCCAGGTAAGCTCCTCCCTGCTGACCTCTTTTGCCTCCCTAGCAAAGCCTCACAGTGTCCAGGGTGCCAGAGTCTCTGTCTTCCTACCAAGGGGACCTTATATCCCAAGTCTCCTCCCATACTTCCTCAAGCAAATTTGTTTTTTAAAAGTTGATTTCAGGGCAGACTTGCACTGCTTGGGAGGGAAGGGGAGAGGAGTATCGTGTGAAGTTCCCCTCCCCCCCAACCCGTAACAAATGATCAGTTGATCATTGGCACTTCCCTCTATAATAACCACATCCAGTCATTCAGTGATGGGTAACTCACTTAAATCTCAAGGCAGCCCATAACACTTTAGCAGAAATGTAATTGTTACAGTGTTTTCCTTTCCTTAAGCCTGTTTGCCTATATGCATTATTCCTAGTTCTACCTCCTAAGCAGAACAAACCTAATCAATCCCTCTTCCATGGGACAGCCCAAAACCTGAAGATAACTCCTGTTCCTTCCCTAAATATTTTCCAAACTAAACATTCCCAGGGGCTTTAAATAATCTCAGTGACCTTCAGTGTCTAGGTGCCATTCTCTGGATACTCCTCAACTTATCAATACCCAGAACTAAACAGCACAGATATAGTCTGACCAGTGTAGATAGACTACTCCCAGGACAATTTGCCACTTTCATTGCCTATATGCATTATTCCTAGTTAACTTTCTGTGTATATATTCTCCTTTCTGTTAACTTTTCCTAAATTAACTTTCTGTGGTTGCCATATTCTGCTGTTGATTCATATTGAGTTAACAATCCAATAAAACCTGTAGATCTTTTTCAAACTGCTTCTAGCCGTGTCTCCCTCATCTGGTAGGTGTGAAGTTGATTCTTTTTTAAATTTCAAGACAGCTCAAAAGTCATGTCATGTTGACAACAATTTTGTGTATTAAATGCTGTTGTAAGCTATTGAATGGGAAGACATAAAAACCTGATGTGTTGATATATAACCTGAGACCCAAAGCCCATCGAGCCATATGAGATTCTCTACTTACTGGTAGAAACCAATGCCCTATGCCTAAATGAGGGGTAGGGCAGAGTTGGAGAGAGCCAGAGAGAGAGGTTTGCTTCTCTTCAAACAGGAAAGTCTCTAAGTCTTTGGACCTCCTTCAAATATAGTCCCTTCAGTCTCTTCAGGTTCTGAGAGCTGCTTCTGGCATCTAAAGATTAGATGGAAAATGCCAACCCCACTTCAGGTTGCTGAAGGAAAAGACTGGGAAGAAGTCACATGTCTTCCTCATGTCCCTGTCCCCAGCTCAGTATACTAGAGACTTTGGGGAACTTCCCCAATGGGAGAGTTCCTTCACTCTATCATATGGTGTATATATTCTCCTATATATACTTTCTCTGATTTCCATGTTTTGCTATGATCTGGATAAAGGGGCTTCTTTGCTACCTGTTTTGTATGTTCATTATGGAACTGGTATTTCATGAGAAGGGAGTCAAGCTTTGATTATCAAGTATGGGGTCCTTCTTTTCCTCCATTAACGAAACAGTAATCAGAAGTTAGTTTGAACCTGAAAGCTATGTCCTTGAGACTAATAATATTTAAGGGAGCAGACAGATATAATTCTAGCCCAGTAACCCTCTCTCTCAAGAGAGCATAATGGCCAAGTTTCTTGCCTCAATATCCTGATATCCCTCCTGGTATGCAATAAAGTCTCCTTTGAAAAAGGGTAGAGTGGAGAAGAGGCTAGAGATGTTTATTCTACCTCCTTTCAAGCCACACAATGATACCCTTGTACTACATGTGAGAGACAGCCCTCAATATAAATAGAATACCAGGTTTTTACATTGAGAGTTCAGAATTTAACACTCCTGTTGGGATGTCCTAAGTAAGGGACAGACTTGGTGTAGTACAGGAGTTCTTATAACCTGGGGCCTGTGAACTGGCGTTGAAAAAAAAATGTTATCTTTATTTTCACTAATCTCTGACTAAAATTTAGAACTTCCTTCAGTTATTAATGTAGGCAACAAACATTATTCTAAGAAGGCATCAGATGGCCAAAGGGGATCCATGACACAGAAAAAATTAAGACCTCCTGGGCAGTGAGAGCAGCAGTCTAACAAATGGCAGGCAGGAATTTTGCATCTTCCTATCAGCTTTGCCACTAACTGCAAATGTAGAGAATCTACTCCAAATGTTAACATGAACTATTTGGGCCCAACCTGTGGTGGAACATTCCGAGCTCATATTGGTCTGATCAGCGACAGTCAGAAGCACTGTAACTTGACTCTAGCATAGTGATGTCATTTTGGTCCTCCTTGAGAACAAAGGACAATAACCAGCTACTAATTGCCTGTGTGATTTTGAGCAAGTTGCTTTACCTTTGGGACCTTTATTTGCCATAGGTGATCTCTGAAGGTCTCCTACTGGGCTAAGTGTCCCAGAGCAATTAGATTCATAGAAGTTATTTAGGTTATAAGCCTCAGGTAAAATTCCTTTTAGGACTTTCCGGACCTCAGACCTAGATTCATACCTAGAGACTTGAACATCTTTAGGAGAAAGAGCCCGAGGGTCATATTTCTGTGTCATTATCAAGTCATAGTCAATAAACATTTATGAACATTCTCCCTGCCAGGCACTATGCTAAGCCCTGGAGATACAAAGAAAAATAAAAGATAGCACCTTCTCTCAAGGAGTTCACAATCTGATGGTAGAGACAAATGCACATAACTATGTATAAACAAGCTATATACAGAAAAAATAAGAAATAATTAACAGAGGGAAGGCATAGAATTGAGGGATCAGGAAAAGCTTCCAGTAAAAGGTGAGATTTTTTTTCCTGAGATTTGAAGGAAACCCAGAAAGCCAGGAGACAAAGATAAGGATGGAGAGCATTCCATGCATGGGGGCAGCCAGTGAACCTCTTGCATCAGGAGATGAAGGATCTTGTAGAGGAAGAGTAAGGAAGCCGGTTTTCAGATGAAGAAATTAAAAATACTTTAAATCACTGTTGATCAGAGAAATGCAAATTAAAACAACTCTGAGGTACTACTTCACACCTATCAGATTGGCTAATATGACAAAAAAAAAGAAAGAAAAATGATAAACATTGGAGAAGATGTGGGAAAATTGGAACACTAATGCATTGTTGGTGGAGTTCTGAACTGATCCAACCATTCTAGAGAGCATTTTGGGATTATGCCCAAAGGGCTATAAAACTATGCCTTACCCTTTGATATAGCAATACCACTACTAGGTCTGTATCCCAAAAAGGATATTAAAAAGGGGTGATCAAGAATTGGAAATTGAGGTGATGCCCAGCAACTGGGGAATGGCTGAACAAGTTGTGGTATAAGAATGTAGGAATACTATTGTGCTATAAGAAATGATAAGTAGGCAGATTTCAGAAAAGGCTGGAAAGATTGATGTGATATGAACTGATGCTTAGTGAAGTGAGCAGAACCAGGAGAACATTGTACACAGTAACAGCAACATTGCACAATGATCAACTTTGATATGCTTAGCTCTTCTCAGCAATACAATGATCTAAGATAATTCCAAAAGACTCATGATGGAAAATGCTATCAACATCCAGAAAAAGAACTATGGAGTCTGAATGCAGATTGAAACATACTATTTTCTTTTTTTTTCTTTCTTGTGGTTTTTCCCTTTTGTTCTGATTCTTCTTTCATAATGTAACTAATGTGGAAATATGTTTAATATGATTGTACAAGTATAGCCTATATCAGATTGCTTGCTGTCTTAGGGAGGTGGGAGGAGAGAGAGGGAGGGAGAAAAAAATTAGAACTCAAAAT